TGAAGACTCTTCATTTTTTGTAACCTATGTGTTCTTTTAATGGTTATTTATAAATGTGACTTTTGGTTATCCATAACTTAAGAACTAGTTATGGACTCCATTAAAACACATAAAGATCAAGAATTAATCTAATCAATTATTAGCACATAATTTCTATGATCTTCTAAACTCATATGTTTATGAATGTTCATATCAAAAATTTCAAGAATCGTAAGTACATATACAAAACTTGAAATTTTGATACGAGCTTTTGAACAAAACTTCGATTTTCAAGTTTTTTTTTTTTTTTGCATCAAGTATCAAATAAACAAACCTTGCTCTGATACCACTGATGGGATTTTGAGCATTCTAACACTCCTATGGTGTACATGCAACCCTAGAAACCTTGGATCTATGTTTGACTAAGATACATGCAAATAATTATTTTTCCAAGGTTCTTATCCTAACTAGCATGGCATGGGATACTTGAATCAAATAAAACTAGTAGAATTACTTACCTTGTAGTAGTAGTTGATTGCTTGGAGTTTGAGAGCCCAGCACCAATAATGTGGATGCCTCAAATAGAAGTCACAAATCACCACAAACTTGGAAACTTGAGAGAATAGTCACAAACTTCTTGAAATCGGCCCTCTTGGTTTACACACATCAACTAGTGCAATTTCAAGAACCAAAGCCTCCTTTATATAGTGTGGTGGATTAGGGTTACATCCATGTAAACCCTAATACCCATGTCTTTTCATTTCCATGAGATCCATGGGTTAAAGCTCCATGGAGTATCCATGGACTTTCCATGCAAGCCTAGCCCATTCCAAATAAGCATTAGCCCACACTATATAAATACAAGAGCCCATATTTAATTAGTCATACTTTTGATCTCTAAATTAATTATAGATCAATACTAATTAAATAATATGATTTTATATTAATATATTAGGACTTATAATATATTAATAAATCATAACTTATACTATTCTCAAACGATTATCCATAAATTGTTCGGGTGAAGTGCAACCCAAATGGACCATGTCGGGTCGGGTCAAGTACATACTAAATATAGTTATGGACTTAGACACTATATCCAACAGACGTGACCTCTTGTTCTATCCTCCTGAATGTACTCTTCTTTTTTTCCTTGTTGCTCCATCCTTGCATTGTCAACCAAGTTTTTAACAAGCTTGGCTATACCATCTTCTGTACCCCAAGTAGCTAATGCGCTTAAGATGTTACGATGTTGCAAGGACTTCCTGTTCCCAGACCTACTTTCTTGTCTATTCTTGGGCCTGAACACCTGAAGAGTACACCTAGGAAGAATTAACAATGTACCCCACACTTCAATGGACCCAGGATGAGCGGCAACCTTGGAAAGGGCTGTCTTCAAAGCCTGAGAGAAAGTCATACGACAGTTATGAGGGATGCTTTTGACAGTGGTGATAGGTAGCTTAAACACAAGATCAAGGAGCTGAGCATCCAACACCAACCCCTCATTGAGGTTGGCACCCGGTTCATTGGGTGGCGGCTTTTGAATACCAACAATATGTCCGCTCATGTCATCAACATCACCATTAAATTTAACAAGACCACCTGAGTGTCGACACGAGCGGCTTAGGGCATGGAGACTCATACAATCCCCACATATCCATTAACCAAACTCCTTCAATGTTGTTGTCACTGACATAAACAATACAAGGTCTAAAGAAATAGCATCTCGCAAGACAGCTCTACGCTCATCCGTAGAGAGGTGCAAACTCTTGATATGAGAAATCATACAAGATATCCCCTTACACCCACTTCACCGTTTGGGCAGCAATGAAAACCCCCGAAAAGGACACGGCCAAGTTCCGCTCGCATATGTATGAGAAGACGCCATAAACACAATAACAAAGCTTATTAAAGCCTCAAGGGGAGGCTCAGAATGAGAAGCAAAAATCCAAAGTAAAGAGTGACACTCCAACAAAAGGTTGGAGTGCACAATGAAAAACCACCCCGGAAGAGACTCTACATCTTTTTGGGTCCTAACATGGCTGCAACACTTGAAAAAAAAACTTTAGACATTTTATCAAACAACTGGCGGGCAGAAAAAGAAATGTATGATTTGCACCAATGAGGCTTGAGAATTTAACCCATATATAATCTCCGCTTTAGTCAACTTAAGAAAATGAGAAGATTCCCTTTTGGGATTAGATCAAACTGCTCGTGCAAATTAATACGTGAGTTGCTAAAGATTTTTTTTGGGCGAAAAAATAAATAGAAAATTGGATGGCTAATTTACTGTTTGATCTGAAAATCAATTTAAGAAAATTGATTTTAGTATTTGTCAAGAATCGTTTCGATGGGTGAATGAAAAGTCAAAGTCAAAAAGTAAAAATTGGGTCCTTGATGAATCTGGAACGAAAGTGATATCGAAAGGTTTCATCGAAACTTGAACAGTGATAAAAGAAACTTCAATATACGACTGTTGGATTGGGTTCCACATCCCACACAAAGCTCTCTTTATATAAGAGATTATGTAAGTCTTTTTTCGAAGCATCTTGAAGATAAAAGATTACCCCCTTTAAGTTTCTTTAACAACTCTTTATTCTTGCTTCCGTTATACGTCAATATCTACGTTGCACAAATTTCAATATAGAATAATCAATAAAATGCACTCTCGTTATAACTAAAACTAAGGTCATATGTTATACCCATCATCTGTTATACTAAGGTCATCTGTTATACCCATCATTAACCACTATAGTGGTAGGTGTCACATCATCAACACACTCTCTACCACTAACTATGGGATACCTACCACTAAACACACTGCTCCACCTCATTTTTTTAATTAAATTTAATTCAAAATTATATTAAAAACATATAATTTTTTTAATACTAGTTTTTCATTAAATTAAAATACCAATTACATTAAAAAAATTACATTGATTAAAATAATAAAAAAAATAACAATAACGATAAAAATAAAAATAAAACACCTAAAAATACCAAACATAACTAAAAAAAACTACCACTTATTCCTATATCGGACTCAAACAGACACTTTTATCGCGAGAAAAATCTTCAAATCTTCGTCTTCGAGATCGTTTGCTTTCATCTTCAAAATCTCCATATCGGTTTTTGTTTGAAGCGTCATTTGTGCCTCTTGGAATAACGTTTGCGCTTCTATCATTTTTTGCTCCATCTAACTCAACATTTTTGCCTTGGTTTCTTGAATGTGGACATATCGATCAAATTTCTCTCCAAAATGATTGATAACACTAGAACCCGAAACCGACGAACCCGCTTTTTTTGTTTTATTGCTTCCAACGGGCCGACGAAGAGGTTGCTCGTCTTCAATATCAATCGGATCATTGTTTATTTCGATGTGTGTTCGTCCGTCCGATTGTTGGGAAGTTGCATCGGGGTTTCCTGAACGTTTTGAACCGGAAGAGGTTTGTGAAGTTCCTTTCGTTTGTTCTTTCCATTTTGGGGCATCTTTCAATTTTAGCCACAGTTTCACATATAGAAAAACTTTGCGGGTTGGCGTTATTTTTTTAAATTGATCCAAGGCCGTCTTGAATACATCGAAAGCGTTTGACCTGTTTTTACGTATGTTTTGGAGGTTGTTGTAAATCCTCCACATTTGGTGCATTTTAGTCGAATATCGCATCACTTCGAGCTAATTTGGTAGGGATTTCGACTTTCACTTCCCATTAAACCATAGAACACTGTTCGAACTTTCTCCCAAAAACAATTGAAGGTTTGATTATCTCCTTCAATTGGGTCTTGGGAGGCCGTAACCCACACATCCGCTAACTTCTCTTCTTCCTCTTTTATCCATGGCACCCTTTCTTGGCCAATAATTGGTCGGGCCGGTTTTTTTTTCACTTTTTTTTGTTGAGGTGGTGGTGGTGAAGGTTGCGTTTCCGAAACAAAAATCCGGCGAATGAGGTGGTTGTGAAGGTGGTGGTTTTGATTGTTGTGGTTGTGAAGGTGGTGGTTGTGAAGATGGTGGTTGTGACGATTGTGGATGAAATTGTTGAAATTGGTGGAATTGTTGTTGAAAGGTCGAGAAATGTTGTTGGAAAAGTGGTGTTTGTTGGATAGGGGAACCAGTTTGTAGCAAATTCATAAAACTACCTTGAGGTGATTCCATGGTCAGGAATTGGCGGAGGTTTGTATCTAATGCAAAAGCGTTATTGGGTTTGTGGTTCGATAGTTTAGGGGGTATTTTGGTTGAGATCCATTTTTGTTGGTTGTGAAAATGTTGTGTGTATAGAGAAAGAAAAGAATGGTGTAAGAAATTAGGGTGTATAGTGTGGTTTTTATAGGTAAAAATGTGTGTGTGTGTGTGTATATTTGAAATTTAGTCGTTCAACGGCTCCTTCAACGTTCAAAATGAGCAATGCTTTCCCATTGGTCATTGCTCTCAGTCCTCCCCACCATGACGCTCAACGAAAACGCTGCACCACGATCAGCCGGCATGGTGTGCACAGACCACGATCGTGGCCAGCTAGACCACGAGACGGCTCGTTGTAGGTATACACAATGGTCTAATCCAATTTTTTTATAATTTGAAATCAGCCAATCAACACAACTATAAGTGATTAACTTTTGGTTAATTATTAGTAGCCCAACTTGAAACTCTACCCTTAAGGTTATACTTAACGATGTGTTATTGGTTTGGAAGTGTGGTTGCACTTAACTTTGGAGTAAAGGTGGAGTTTGTAGCCCAAATGTGTCGACTCCAAAACAAAGTCCAAAGGGCAAATGTGTAAATGTTGTTGCCTAAAGTTATCAAAATGATTGGGAGTTCATTTTTTACTTCCAATTCTCCATTTTTCAGTTTTAGTTTATGTCCTAAGTTTATGTTTCTTCTTTGTGTGATTAGAAGATTGTTCACAAAGATCATTTCATTAACCCATCTATCTTAATTCAAGTTTCTTCATAGTTTTCTTCATCAATTCAATTTTGGCTTCATTGTTGTAACAAAATAGAATAGGATTCTTTTAATTATATTGAATATGAGGCCCTTTGGAGTCACATCAACCCATGATCCAATCAGCACATATGAAACAAGATACAAATCCACTTACATAATAGTTGATTGATACAACCAAATCTGTGTACAATTTCATTTGGATACCTGAAGCTTTCAACTCCAATAACCATCAGATTCTAAAGTAATTAAACTCCATCTACATGATTATAACGGATTCCTGTTCACATCTTTGTAGAGCAAATAGCGTGTGGGAATTTTACCAAGTGCAGCATACCTGAATTAAATAATAATAATAATAATAATAAAAGATTCAAATATTATAATGCAATTTGTTTAATGCACCAAAAAGATTCATCATGTCTCTTACCATTGAGGCACAAATGGAGCCATCCAGATGGCATCTCCAGCCTCAACTGGATACCTATGTAACACAAAGTCAAAGAATAAGGTAAGAAATAGCAATGTAATTTCATGAACATGTGTATTATAATAGCATCTTACTTTCATTTCTCTCGATTATAACATTGTACTTTCAATTTTTTTTTCTTATCAGGACATTCTACTTTGAAGAAATTTACCCTAATATAGCAGTAAAAATTGCTTTGTATTTTTATTTCAAAGTACAATGATATAATAGGAAGAAATGAAAGTATGATGCTATAATAAACAAATCAATCAAAGTACATTGTCATTTCTTGCATTTATCAAAAGTGAAGAATTGTTTTTTTCACCATGAAACCTACCAGCTATCACCCAGACGATAAATGCCTTGTCCTTCTAGAAGTAACAAACCATGCTGATTATAATGCACTTCCTGCCAACAAAAAAAAAATAGTTTTTGTTTTTTCAAGACTGTTGAGTTAAATAAAACACATTTTAATAAGTGATGACTAATGACATACTTTTACATTAAGAAATTCGCCAGGTTGGAAGTCCATGATCTGCATGATTAAAAAAATTTCAGAATGTAGAATAGGCATTTTAATATTTGATTATTAGTCAAACACATCAATCTATAAAGTAAATTTTTTAAAAAAGATAAACTATCGCTTACGTGAATGTTGAAGTCATAAGGCAGAGATGTAGGAAGAAGCTTCCTCAATTGGAATACCTAATATGGAAACAGTAATAAAAAAAAGGTAAAATAATAGTAAAAAAGTGGACCCTTGTTAAAAAAGTACATGCCTCTCCAGGGGTGTCAAGAAGTGGCTGCTGATTGGTGGAGCCAACAATTGGCTCGGGAATATGATCTTCCAGGTAAGCATACCTACACAAAAGTTAAATTACTTTTTTAGCCCTTGAGGTTTATAATTGATAAACATGTAGCTTATAGAGAGAAGGAATAACATACCTTCTTTCAAATACAACAAGTGTAGAAGATTCATAACTTTCAAAGTGATGCTTTGAGTTAGGAGGTAGGTAAGCAAACGAGTCTACCTACAATTCAATGACAAAAATCCAACTATTCAGGAATACATTTACTTAATTGAACCATTTTTCCCTCTTCTTTATAACAATTACTTTCAGGAATACTATTCAGCTTCAAAATTAGACACAAAATGTGTAACTTTAATATGAAATCATAATCACATAAAACCACTAAGGATAATGTTCATATAAATCTTACTACACAAAAGAAAATTCAAGATCAAAACGTTTTGTTTACCATCAGTGTTTGGCAAATTCCTGAAACATTAGTGAGTGTCACCAAACCTTGAACCACAAATACAAACCTAAATGATAAAAATAAATTAAAACACAACTCGAGTCACACAATGATTCAAAAGAAACTTGATTTGATCATAAATTGAGGAGGTCATTAATACCTCTCAACATGTTTAGGAGGTAGTCCTGATTTTGAACTTTCTGCATAAATGAAAACCAATCATTTTGATCATAAGGAACTCATTCATCATTTGGCTTTACAGAATTACTAATCACAAAGTAAAATATGAATGCACCTTGCATCTTTGCAATATACATAACAAAATGAGCTCCCATTGCTGGCGAGACTAAATATGCCCCTAATGTGTTGCTCCTGTCAAATTAATCCTCATGATAAGCTTACAATTAACCTATTTATAAAAAAGAAAAACAAACATGGATTCTTGAAATTCAACATACCACTCAGGCAAAGGGCTAAAAACATGACTTTCAGGGGTGATTAAAGCATGATCACTCTTATACACGCTTCGAGTAAACCCTGGTAAATCTGAGAAATAACAAATACCCACAAATCATCAGTCGCATAAAACCATATTCATTATGATCGAGTAACCCACAAGTTTGCAATTCATCAACTATAAGCAGAAATACACATACACACACGAACAGAGTAAAAAGAACTATATTAACAGTCTATACTCTTTAGTCGATTCCTCTGAAATCAAACAGCGCACTGACCTTGTAGATGAGACGGTGAGAGAGTGGGGTTGGTGACTTTCGAATAGAGAGTTTGGGCGTTTGAATTGGATTCGATTATGGATGGTGCTATGCAAAACCCTTCTTCGGTAACAGCGATACTGAGAAAACCTGTGAGTTATGAGACATTAGGACATCAGTTTTAATCATAGTTAAGGGGGGGGGGGGGGGGGGGGGGAATAGATGCCTTCTGTCATGGATTTACCAAAAATAGTTGATAGAAGCAAGAAAGACTTGGCGAAAAATGCTGAAAAAAACTGCATTTTTCAGGGATTTTAGTGCACCTCTGAAAAACTTTGCTTCTGGGTTGGGCGCTTTCACCTTCTTCTTGGCAAAAGAAGAACGCAGGTACCAATATTTTATGGTTTGTGGTCAGAGAGAGAGACCCTTGGTTTGCTTATTGGCCTTTTGTGGGAGATGACTAGATGAGTCAGCTATCAGAGTGAGAACTGAGAAGTGAGAACCGGTAACTGGATCTTTTCCAAAAAATACTTGTACATGATGACGATTTTAACCCTATTTTCTTACGTTCCATCATTTTCCCCCACAAGCTTTGATGAATGTCATTTTCGGACCTTAGATAGTTAAAAGAGACAACATAAAAATGCTCCTTTGGTTTGTAATTTTTTGTGGGAATAGTTTCAAACTTCAAAAATAGTTTAGAAAACAGGAAATATGGTTCTTGTGATTTGTATTTTTTTAGTGAGGTCCAAAAATTTTAATTTGTAAATGGTTTTTATTTGAATTTTTATTATGGGATAAACTAAAATTAACAACCATTTGCTTTAGGGTGTAAAACGTGTTGAAATGATAGTTTTGTCTTTTTTAAATTTATTTATTATCAATAAAATATCATTAAAAAAACCTCTAACCCATTGATGTATTGTATAGGTGAGCAAAACCAAAACAAAAAAATCGAAAAAAAAAAACAAAAAAAAGTGATAAAATCTAAACCGAACATAAAACCAATGATTTGGGTTTTCTTTTTCAAAAACAAAAAATTTCAGTTGGTTTCGGTTTTTAGATATGGTAAAATAAAACAAAAAACGAATTGGAACGTTAGTAGATGTGTTTACAAAAACATATATTTTGTGGATATAGTATCGCTACAAAAAAATAAAGTCAATGCAACCCCAATTAAAATTTGCATTAACATGTGAAAAATGTTGTTTTTGTCTAAGGCTACATTTTACCAATAGTTGTGTTAGGCAAAGTTGCATTAGAAAATGTAACTTTTTACGAAAGATTTGTCATAAGAATGCAACCTTTTTTCAATGCAATATTTTTTATATTCAAATACTGGGCAGTTAATAGCGCCGAGATCTCGGTGGGATAGCGTTTTGCGGGTGTTTGCAAAATCCCGGTTTCAAATAGTGTTCTGAAATATCGGAGCCGAGCTTATCGTCGATATCGGCCGCTATTTCACCGATATTTCATTACCGGTATCCCAGGTTTTCCCCGCTATTTGATTTTTTGGGCTTTTTATACAGATTTATAAAGAAAAATAAATACTTTGATATGGATTAGCCCAAAACTTGTAATACTATAATCCCAATCTACTTTCTTTAACGTTGTGACTAGGTGTGTGTATGGAGCGGTTTGGTTCGGTTATTGGTCAAAACTGAACCATAACCATTATAATTGGTTAATTCATTTTGGTAGCCATTGGGTATGGTTAATATTGGTTATGGTTACTGTTTTTTGTTGGTTAATGGTTAAAATTGGTTAACCCTAATGTTCAAAATAATATAAATGGCGAAAGTATATTGGCATAAAAAATGAAAAGAGAATACAAAAGTCCTTAGCGCTAATGTTTGTATCCTAGCTTATAGTAATAGAATAAAATGTGTACCTTTGATACTCAGAGTGAGATAACACATAGTCACATTGAAAATCAAAAACATTCAATAAAAATATAAAACATTAAAAAAATTGACATTAATAATTTCATATATTGATAATTTATATTAACATTAAAACAAAGCCAAACATTCATACATGTTCAATGCGATTAAATAAAAAACTATAAAATAAAATAGTCAAACATTCATAATGTGTTATCTGGATAAAAAAAAGACATTCACTCATATATATTCAATGTGATTAAGTCAAAAACAGTAAATAAAAAAAAACAAAAACTTCATAAAAATACGTTCTTAATATATCATAAAGTCTAGAAGAACCAAAAACTTAACTTATTTAGAAGTGTTGATTATAAAGTCAAAAAATCCTTGGAATAGGACTATAAAGTCAAAACAATATTTGATAAGGATTAACGGTATGAGAAGCCTCTAATTAGGATTATGAGTGTGAAGATTAAACTAATTGTGAATAATGTTTACATACTGTAGAATTATCCTATTAGGAATTACAATATTAATCAATAATGTAACTCAATGCATGATTGGAAGATTGTGCGTGTATGCGTTATCAGTCTTTGATAGTTTGATTGATCGTTCGTCTCCTAATAAGTGATTAATGAATTATATTTTGAAATTTTAATGGATCTTAAATAATTTGGACTATATTATTTTTTATATAATCTATAATATATATATTAAAATATAGAGTTAGCGGTTCGGTTAATAATGGTTATGTTAAGTTATAAAACCATAAGCGAACCGTTAGTTATCGGTTAACAAAAATTAGAAACCAAACCAACGGTTTTTAAAATGTTTCGGTTATTATGGTTCGGTTATATCGGTTAATTTGGTTTTGGTTCGGTTTTCCGGTTATTATGATCACCCCTAGTTGTGACCTAATCAAAATTCGGAAGAAACCATATGGAAACAAGTTGGAACAGACAAAGATATAAAAACTCAGTTAATTTGTAATTAAACATCGGTTAATGCATCTAAATTGTAATTGTAATCAAACCTCAGTTATGCATTTAGTTTGTAAATCTTTTTGTGTAACAGGCTATAGTTTTAACTTGTAAACATGTTACTTTTTGTGATTATATATATATATATATATATATATATATATATATATATATAATTTTTAAAAACCGCAATCCCACCGCAATCTCACAGCAAGAACCGCTATTTTAAATCACAGCAAATGACCGCTATAAGATTTTAGACTGCGATAACTGCATAGTTCAAATACAATGAAATTGGTAAAGATGTGTTTGCTTTATTGGTTAATGAATCTAGTGATGTATCGGAAAAGGAACAAATGACCACAATTTTGAGATATGTCGATAGCCTTGGAATTGAGAAAGAATAATTCATTGGAATTGTGCATGTAAAGGATACATCCCCTTTGATCTCTTAAAGAGGCCATAAATGAAGTTTTTACCGGTAATAAGTTGAGTATGACTCAAATAATTAAAACTTTTTGCTTACTATGTATTTTAATTGAATATTATTCGCTTTATGTTATATATCTTTTTTTAATAGGTAAAATTACAAGGTTAAGATGGGGCAAGCAATATGCAAGGTGCATTCAATGGTCTAATAGCTTTAATATTACATGATAATGATTCAGTGAATTATGTACGTTGTTTTGCACACCAATTTCAGTTAGTTATTGTGGGTGTAGTAAAAAACATGATGGTGTTGGAGACTTCTTTAAGCAAATTTCTATGGTGGTTTATGTGGTAGGTAGTTCATGTAAAAGAAAAGGCATGATATGGGAGAGTTACAAAGAAATGGTGCAAAAAGCAATTGGTAGGTTTGAGGGCAACTCAAAAGGACTGTGTTACTATCAATTCAAGTTTATACCAATTATAGTTATGGGCTTAAACACCCAATCCAACACTTATGTGGATGTTGATTTGGCGAAGTGTATTTCTTCTAGGAGAGTCGTTATAGGCTATTGTGCTTACTTTGTTAATTCAATAATCTCTTGGAAAAGTAAGAAACAAGACAATGTATCCAGATCATCTACTGAGTCTGAATACAGGGCCTTGGCTACTGTTACGTGTGAGATCATGTGGATTCTTAAACTTTTCTATGATTTGGGTGTTAAAGATATGTTTCTTGTTAGTGTCTATTGTGATAATGATTTTGCAATAAAGCTTGCACGTAATCCTGTTTTTCACGAGAAAGTTGAACACTTTGAAGTGGATGTTCATTTTGTGAGAGATAGGGTTTCAAAAGGAATTTTGAAGATTATTGAAATTGCATCAAAAAAGCAAAGAGCATATATTTTTACAAATCTTTAACATCAAAGCAACATGGTTTCTTATGTTCTGAATTGGGATTATATGATTTGTTTAAGGTTGAGTAAGTTTGTTTCCTATCTCAATGTTCATCTTGAGAGGGGGTGTTAACATTTTCTAAAATATTTATTGCAAGATTAACATTGAGAGTAATTATGAGTCTGGGGTATAATCTGTAAATATGGAAAAGTTCTATTATGAGTGTTATAACACCCGGAAATTTGAGGAAAACCTTTGAGTATAAATCCCTCTTTTTGAGGATTCCACACGGCGTGTTGGAGGCACCAACACGGCGTGTCCAGTTATGAGAAGGCGTGGTTTGCATTATGGGCAACACGGCGTGTTTCCTCTTGGAACACGACGTGTTGATGGTTGGGAATGAAACCCTAATTTTTTCAGGTTTTTCTCCTTATTTAAAGGAAAGTGGAGGCTAGGGTTTGTTCACCCTTAGCCCTCATCATCCCTCAAGCCCTGAAGGAAACCCTAATCATCTTTCCCTATCATTTGTGAGCTAGTGTGGTGTTTTTGGAGCCACAGAAGGAAGAAGTTGGAGGAAGGAAGCAAGATCCAGCAAACAAGTCAATCATCCTTCATCTTGGCATTCTTCTGGACCTTTGTAAGTGTCCAAGTTCCGATTTTTATCATTCCATATTGCTAGATCTTGATTTTTGTCCTTATAGCTTCTTGTTCTTGAATGTTAGGGTGGTTAGATCTCATAAAGTTTGCAACTTTATAAATCTCCAGGTCAAGGTGACCTTGTAGAGTGTTGGATATGTCTTATGGTTGGGTTTTGATGTCATGCATAGAGATTAGTTCATAATCCCCATTGTTGACCTAATTTGGGTTCAAGACATGCGTTAGACATGCATGTCTATAAAGCACCGCCCTTTCGGATGGTTTTAGTGCTAGAACCTCTTCTGGAAAGTATTGGGTATCAGCTTTAAAGATTAAGTGCTTATTGGTTAAGTCCTTGCATCTTCAAGCCTTGTAGATGGGTTTTGGACCCTTTGGGGTAGTCCCAGAGGATAAAGTTGGAAACTTTATCCTACTTACTACTTAGTATCATTTTGGTCCAGATCGGAGCCTTGGAGATCTGGGAATCGAAGGAAGCAGCTTAACGGGTTAAGCTGCTGGAACTCTGGAAAACACGACGTGTTTGCAAGCCAACACGGCGTGTTGGTTGGGGTTTTTTCCGACTGTTTGGATGCGGGAGGAACACGACGTGTTGAAGTCAACATGGACTGTTGACTTTGACTTTGTCTTTGACCAAGTTGA